TTGAATGTTTAGTTTTAAATCGCTCTAATTTACGGATGCACTTTGGCAAATGCTTTTTTATATAATTAACAAAATCTTTCACTTGTTTTGATATCAAACGCATTTGGTCTTCATTTAAACTGATATTATTTATATTCTGTAACACATATTTCACAAGTGCATCTTCTGAGCGATTGTTGCTTCTCCAAATTTCAATAAGCGCTGCATGGACAAACACATGTTTATCTGCAAAACACGTGTTGGCACAAAATAGAATAAAAAAGGCTAGTTACTCATTAATTAACACACTTTTGTTAATAACTTGGCATTTATACCTTTTTGCAATGATTTGCCATTCACAAGTTACATTCCACGGAACACAACTACAATTTATAGATTTTATATAAAGCTATACATAAACGAAACAATTCACAGTATTACAACAACAGACAATTATGACAAAAAGGGCACCTCGTCTTAATTTTACATACCTGCACTAACGTTTTCCATAATTACACATTTTATTTTTTTTCAATTTGTTTCGCCAGCAAAAAAGGGTTGCAAAATATGAAACCAAAAAAAAAATGACTTTATGCCAAAAAATCATGCTTTTTACCCATAGTGCATTGGGCAAATATTTGACGAAAAATGTGAAATATTTCTTTGTCACAATCTGACCACCAAATATTATTTGACGGTTAAAGCTGGCCATAGACGAACGATAAATTCGAGCAATTTGTTGGGTTTGTGGTCGCGTTTTTACGTCTGTGGGGTAGTTTGCGAACAAATTGCAAGTTTTTGAAAATTTTCAAAAACTTGCAATTTGTTGGCAGACAAATCATACGTGTGTGGGCTACTGCGCAAATTTTAAGCCATTTTGCCATTTCAGTTGCTCTTCAACCATTGTAACGAAAGGTCATGTAGTGCACACAAAAAATGGCAAGCAAAGACTTTATGATTTTTTTTGATGTGTTAAAAAATGAAAATGCCATTTGGCAAACAAAAAGTGAAAAATATAAAGACAAATTAGAAAAACAAAAATCATGGGAAAAACTCGTAACAAAATGGAAAGTTTTTATAATCCCTTGGAGTAAGCATTTCCATATTTTTGAGCGTTGCTACGTGGGAATGCTTTTTTCTTTCGAGCAGCCACTCTTCACTCCATTTTCTTTTTCTTTTTTTTCGATTTTTTTCTTTTCTTGTTTTTTATTTTCCATGTCGAAACATGTATATATAATTAAAAGCGCAGCTGCATCAGCCACTGCATCGTCGCACATGTTTTTTTAAGTTTCCTATCAACAGAAAAAACCAATTGTTAAATAAAAAATTTTCTGCCACAAAATTCAAACAGAAGCACAGACCGAAGTTCAAACACAAAATGAACATCATCCGCTTCGTAGCATATGCTTACTCTTCAACGTCGGCCGAATTATGATTTGTTCGAGCGTGTGTGGAGAAACGATATGCAATAAATCGCAGCAATAAATTTGCAAATCACACCAACAAATCGTTCGTCTATGGCCAGCTTAATACAAAAACAGCTGATTTTGGGAAAACAAAATTATTTGCCAGAAAACAAAAATTTGACCAATGTGTCCATAATGTAAACATATATGATCAATTATTTTCCTATTTTTTGGTCAAACATTTATTTGACGATGCAAATGTTTTGTAAGTTCAAACAAGGAAAAATATCAGTTCAAAACATTGGACAGTATTTTGCTTTAAGAACAGGAGCATTTGTAGCATGATTTTTAATGAATAGAAAAACAAACGAATGCAATAAGTGGCTTTGTTTATTTGATATTTTTGAATTAACTGAATTTGAATGTTTAGTAAAAAATGTTTATATTTGGTCTGTTCCAGAACTGCGAGAATGTAAGTGTTTTTAATACGATAACCGATTTTCCCTTTATTATATAAAAGAAAATTGCGAAACTAGTAGATTCTTGCAGTTTCTGGAACAGGATATGGGTAGATGCATCAACACTTGAAACAATGATATGTCGAAAATTTTGAAATGTTTTGACAAAAATAAGTAGATTTTTATGTTATCCTATACATCGAAAAATCGGAGTTTGCAATGATATATATTTTTCAACAATTTTTACAAATTTCAATAATATTTCATGCATTATTTTCAATTCCAAAATTGTTTTGACAGTTCATTGTCCCAGCAGCTATGTCGATGTGACTACCTGTATTCTTCTACCATGATACAAAAAAAATGCAAAAAAAATTGTTCTGGCAAGGAATTTATTTTACAACAGCTGTTCTTTTGCTCCCCTTCTCCCAATAAATTATACCCGAAACTACACTTTCTTCATGTCTCTCTTTCACTCTCTCTGTCTATTTCTCTCGGCCAAATAAACTTATGTTTCCTCACAGTTTGATCAAACAATTTAATGGCAAAATATATTTTACGAATGTGAACATGTGTCAAACATGTTTTCCCATAGCACTGTTTGACGCTGTTTGGTGACTGCTTGAACAAACAAAATCTGTCAAATATTTGACTGTAATGTGAACATCGAATCAACTCTGTATGAATTTCACATTTGTTCAGTCAAATATGGGAAAACAAATTTCGATCAAATATTTGCCCAGTGTGACCGTACCTTTAGTAAATGAAGTTACTTTTTACTATAAAATTTGTTATGGTCGCTCTACTATCTGTTACTCGTATAAAAAAAAACATAATTATTTTTTTTTATTTATTTGTGTACTTGCGCCTGAGTGAAGAAGCAGATAAACTTTTACTATAATATACATTATGTTAATTATTTTCGATCTATTACAGGTGCACCATGGTACATAAGGAACGCAAACATCCACAAGGACCTAAATATACTTACTGTTGAAGAAGAAATAAAGAAGCTTTTCCGAAAGTACTTAAACAAACTATCCGAGCACCTAAATAGCTTGGCCCGCCAACTCCTACTATTCGGAGGACACGATAGAATGCGCAGACGTGACACTCTTTCTATCATATAGTTTATTTTTTTGTCTTACGCTCTCATTATTTTCAGCTCTTGTCTGGCCAATTGAACGTCGCCCACTGTTATACTTCTACAGGAAGAAGAAATCGAAAAGACTATTACTGTAGTCCGCGGGAATGTTAGTGAAAAAATCGATAAGACTATTACTGTAGTCCGCGGGATGATTAGATATAACTGTATCTAAAGAATGCAACATTATATCCGTAAGACTATTTCCGTAGTCCGCGATTCACTTAGATATAACTGTATCTAAACGAATCTTAGCTACCTACTCATTTAATTCACGTATATAACTGTATCCACAAGCCCACAAAATAACACAAATCTATATCATAAAAAAATAATATCAATAATTAATAATTAAAGCATGAAAAAAATATGGGGTGATTGTATTGACAACCTCCCTATAAAAAATATTAGTATATAAGATATGAAACCTTATTGTTATTTTTTTTTAAATATATGAAAGATTCAATAAATTAAACAATAAAAAATTATTTTAACAATTTTAATAAACTTTACAATTCTCTGATTCATTGTAGTCAACAAATGAGCAAAAAGTAAACAACTTCATCAGCTGTTTTATAATTTCGTCCGTACTGTGTTCCATACGACGAATTTACGCGGCTCATTTTGTCGCCGCGTAGGGCGAAATTCGTCGTTCGCTCCAATTGGGTACACAAATTAACCCGTTCACATGGCACGATTCGTAATTCATAGTAAAATTATTCCTTTTTTCAAAAATTTTGTTTGTTGATTTTAATGGGAATTTATACTAAAATACATTTAATTCTCACTAATATGAATAGAAGAAATTATTGTTTTTCTCCCAAAGATTTATTATATCATTAATTTTAAAATTTTCATTCACATTTTCAATTCACATTTTTGTGTAAATATTGACATTTTGAACATGTTTTTGTATTTTTCTATTTTTAAATTCTGCTGGAGTGACACTTGTCCAACATTTTTTCTGCCGATACAAGCATTTTGAAAATATTGCCTCTGTTGTTTCCAGTTTTCTGTGGAAATTTCAACTCGTGGACAAAATGCGTACCTCGGATGAGAGAAAAAACAAAATGTACTTTCGTTTGAATGTACATACGCTATTCAACATTGTAGTTTTCATTCATAATTTTCAGTCTTCACAAAATTTTTCAAAATTTCATTAAATTTTTCTATTTTCAGTTTTTAAATGTCATAATCTATTTTTTCGATTAATGCTCTCATTTGTTAGGGATATCCCCTCGTTTCTGATTGGTTGAAACAAATTTGCCGCAAACTTTAAATGTCATGGCGAATCTATGTTTTTCGCCTTAGATGACAATTTTGACATTTGAGGGGACCACAAAAGTTGCTTTGTTGTAGCAATTCGCCGATGCGGTTACCTGTTAGATCTACCTTGGGTGTTTGTTTACATTTTATTTTGTGTGCCTCTCGTCGTAAACGAACGTCGCAATAAAAGTTTTTATTGTAAAACAAATAAGAGTAAAATAAGTATTAATTGTAGTATTGCTATATTTTTAAACCAAGAAACTTATAATGACTATATTTTACTGGTTTAAACCGAAAGTTTTCCGGAACTGCAAATGACAAGAGTCGAATTCTTGCACTACTTCCCGTGATGTGCTTTGGGAATCTTAGATGTTTAGGCTAACTTAATTCTTAAAGCTGCACTCTATTCTAACCTCCTTCCTTCATTTTCTTTTAATTTTTTTTACTGGTTTCACTCTTAACTTGCTCTTAAATTATTTGAAATATTATAAAAAGGTACTTTTAGGGAAGACAACATAAACAAATTTGTTGTTGCATTCATTTAGGGCGAATTCTTCATTACAACAATTTGTTTTGACATTTAATGGTGCCATCAGCTGGGCTGATGCGATTGCCTAGTACATCTACCTTGTGTATTCTCTTTCAATTTTTGGTTCTTTTAGAGATGACAAAGGAAACATCGATGCTCGTTATAATACATCGATGTTTACGAAAATGTCAAAACATCGATACCTCGAAGAAACATCAATGTTACTCCACTTCTATTGGTGAGCTACTTGCAGTTTGAGCGTTACAATGAGCTACCGAATTTTACGTTGTTCGTGTTATGTAAAAAGGGCATTATGCATAAGGTTGAACACTCCGAAGAGCAAACGCAATATGTTTGTTCACAAAAAAAACAATAGTAATTATAAAATAGCATCATTCTTCTCATTGTCCATAAGTTTATTTGGATTTGGTTTGAAAGATGATGAAACTCCTGAGGATAAACTTACTAACACTATTAAACGTGCTATTATGAGTATAAATAACCAACAGTATGAGAAAGCTGAACAGATATTACATTTAGCTTTACGAATGGCGCAGGACCTGCAGAGTAGAGATGGGATAACATACGTATACGATGTTATGGCTAATCTTGCTTTGGAGAGAGAACAATACGAAAAAGCTGAAAAATTGTTTTCAGAAGTGATGAAAAGGTTATTAGAAGAAGGCTACCAGGAAGACAACCTTAAGGTAAATTAATTTTTTTTATGTCATTCGTATTTATAAAGTTTCTTTTTGCTAATGAGAATACCTAGTCAACAAGTGGTCACATAAGAAAAATTAGAGTTTTTTCAATAGTATCGATGATTTGGACCCAAAAGTCGAAAAAGGGATTCTACATAATTTATGCCAAACTATAGTTGACACTATAACCTATCTAAAATTATACAATATTTGGGAACAACAAATTTCGATTTTTCGACATTTTTTCCAGATGTAGGCATTTTTGCCCTGATTCCGGGAAACTATTTTTTGGGGGGACGAAGTCGAAAGTTCGGGTTCAAAACCCAAATCCACTCCAACGATATAGGTAATATAAGTATCTTTTATAAGATTAAGAAAATACCTATCTAAGTGAACACATGATTGGGTTAATTAAAGCGGCTCGGAAGTTATATTCAAATTATCGATTTATCAGACCCGGGGTCAACAAAAGTAATGTCAAATTATATCTGGCACTCTTACCTTTCCAAAATACCTTTTTCGGGTCTAGATATAAGTAACCGGCCTTCGGTCGGGGCTTGAGATTTTCTTCTCTGAGTATGTGCCACACCGGCTAACGCGAACCAATGTTTTTTATACCCTCCACCATACTATGGAGGGTATATTAATTTTGTCATTCCGTTTGTAACTCCTCGAAATACTCATGTAAGACCCAACAAAGTATATATATTCTTGATCAGCGTAAAATTCTAAGTCCGTCTGTTGTAATCACGCTATCTTTCGAACGAATTGAGATAGAAGGCTACAATTTTGCACACATGTTTATTTTGCCAGTAGGCAGGTCCTTTATTATAGTCCCCATATAAACTTAATATTTTAAGTTCGAAATGGATACTACAGCCTAAGACAAAATTGTCTGTGCAGGTCTACGTCTTCGTGTAGCCCCCATATAACGGTACCTCCCGATATTCTGTATTTTGATTTTAGTGACATTATTAACCGAAATTGTTTTAAATTTAATATTTGAAGTTCGAAATGGATACTACAGCCTAAGACAGAAAATTGTCTATGCAGGTCTACGTCTTCGTATAGCCCCCATATATAGCATTTTCAGATTAAATGAAACCTTTTGCAATTCAAATGAAACTTTTTGCACCGGAAATTAAACCTTTTGCAGTGGAAATGAAACCGACCGATTTTTAGTAGGTTTAAAATTAAGTCAATTATATATAACTAATATATAGATAAAGAGGAATTTTTATTGATTATAAATTTCTACATTTTTATATTATTTCTAAAATTTTCAATTTTTGTAATAACGAATGGTTCTGTATTGATTTGAAGTAAACTGCTTCCATATTATCAAATTCTATATGCTTAACGCTAAGAAGAGAAATTTAAACAAATAAAAATTCCTCTTTAACTATATATTAGTTATAATTATTTGATTTACTTTTAAACCTAGTAAAAATAAAGAAGTTTTGTTATTTTTCCTTCTAAAAGTTTCATTTGATTTGCAAAAAGTTTAATTAGGGTTGCAAAAGGTTTCATTTCCACTGCAAAAAGTTTGAATTGAATTGCAAAAGATTTCATTTAATCTGAAAATGCTATAACGGTGCCTCCCTATATTCGGTATTTTGATGATCTTAACGTCATTATTCACTGGAGTAGTTTCAGATTACGTATTTAGAGTTCGTAATGGGAACTACAGTCTGTGACAGAAAATTGCCTATGCAGGCCAAGGCCTTCGTATAGGCCCCATATATCAGTACCTCTCTATATTCGGTATTTTGGCGATTTTAGGTACAATACTCACCGAAATTGTTTGAGATGTCGTATTTGAAAATCGTAATGAATGCTACAGCCTGCGACAGAAAATTTTCTATGCAGGTCCAGGTCTTCGTATAGCTCTGATATAACGGCACCTCCCTATATACCGTTTATTTCTAGTTTCGAATTTGAATATGGTAACGGCTTATGACAAACAATGCGTATGTAGGTTCGAGTCGTATAAACCCCAATATAACGGCTATATTCGCCATTTTTAAGATTTTAACAGAATTTTTAACGGATTTAATTTTTTGAAAATTTCTAAATACGTTCCAAATGGTGGAAGGTATTCAAAATTCTGCCCGGCCGAACTTACTGCTTTTTAACTTGTTAAATTTGATACTTTTGTAAGTCCGACGCCGGCTATGCCGAATTAAGCTTTTTATTTAATACATAATTTTAATGAACTGGATATGCGGGTGGAAGGATCCATGTCTCTGGACCCCGAAAATGTATTTGCACAAATTGGAAAGATAAGTTTTAGCTAAAATTTGGCATCAATTTTGTTAACCCCTTAAGGGGCCCTTTTCGACTTTTTGGGGGTTTTATAAAAAATCCGGGTCCATAAAATAGATAATTTGACTGCAACTTCCGCAACGATTCTAAGAACCTCATCATGTAATCACTTGTTGTATAGATTTTTTTTATAAGCTTTCCAATGATATTGTCTTATTGGATAAGTGGATCCTGGTCTTGAACCCGGACTCTCGGGTCCGGGTCCGTAAAAAATTAGGAAAAAACCATAAGATCCGAAGATTTCAGTTGAAAAGTGAGGACAACCTTAAGGCATTGGCCTTATTCCCACATGGAAGGGAGGATAATTTTATATTTCCCGATGTAGCAGTATGCTAAATGGCGATGGTTTTCTGCTTTTGTTGTTGTAGCAGCTCAAACATCTGTGTTCGTTCGGTTTCCATTTTATTTAGGTGAGTAGGCTTGGCTGGGCAGCGAAATAAATGCAGCGTGTCATGTGGGCCTGTGCCACATGCTGGGCAGATGTTCTGCACGTCGCCGTTGATCCGGGCCCAGTAGGAATTTAGGCGGCTGCACCATCCGGATTGTAATTGAGCCAAGACTACTCGGGTTTGTCGGGGCAGCTCTCGTTCTTCAGCTGCGACGGGAGGGGGATGGTCTCCTAGCACAGTATTCACTCTATATCCTTCAATGGCCTCTGAGACCGCATTAGAGTGAATACTATTCAGTCCCGCTTGATAGGCCTGTTGATCTAGAGGCTCTCTCTTATACCTCTGTACCTCTCTCTCTAGATCATGAAGGTCTTTCCTAACGTGCCTGGGCGGAGGTTGCCTATCCACAAGATGGTGATTTGGATGGCTTTGTCTATAACACCCAAGCAGGTATTGCATTGACAGCATTTTGTTATGCTGTCGCACCGGTAAGACCTTCGCCTCCTCATGTAGGTGATCGACAGGTGTCATGAGAAGGCACCCTGTTGCGGTTCTAAGGGCGGCATTCTGGCAGGATTGAACATTTTTCCACTGCGTAGCACTGACGTTGGCAGACCACACTGGAGCCGCATAGTTTACCACAGACCGGCCTATCGCGTTGTAAGAGGTCAACAAGGTTTCCTTATCAGCTCCCCAAGTACTGCCGGCCAGAGACTTGAGGACCTTGTTCCTACTTCTAATCTTGTCGCAGATAGCTGTGGTATGCGCGGACGACTTAAAGAGGCTATCGAATGTGACCCCTAATACCTTGGGGTAGTTGGTGGTCGGAATAATAGCACCATCGACCTGCACATTCAAGGATAGCCCCATCTCCACAGTCCATGTGGTGAAAAGTGTGGCCGTCGACTTAGTGGCGGATATCTTCATATTCCTCGCAGTGAAAAAGGCGGTAAGATCAACAAGGTAAGCGTTTAACCGATCGCAAATGTCATCAATAATGGGTCCGGACGCCACGAGCGTACAATCATCTGCGAACGTTATAATCTCTATGCCGTCTGGAGGGCGTGGAATTTCAGAAAGGTAGAGGTTAAACAGTTCCGGAGATATCACCCCACCTTGGGGAACTCCCTGTTTAACTCTACGGATGCTCGACTTCTTGTTTCTGAATTCCACGTACGACTGGCGTCCACACATGTAGTTTACTATCCAACGTTTCAAACTTGGCCGGAGGGTGGTGCGCTCAATGTCCTCGAACAGTGTGGCATGATTGACTGTATCAAAGGCTTTTGATAAATCAAGTGCCACCATAACTGTTCTATCGCACGGCCTGTTCTGGTTGAGACCTCTACTGACATGTGTGGAAATGACGTGTAAAGCTGTTGTTGTGCTATGCAATTTCCAGAATCCGTGTTGATGATCGGCTACTGGGAAACACTCTCTTATGCTGGGGAGGAGTAAAGCCTCAAGCGTCTTTGCTACTGGTGACAAAAGTGATATCGGCCTGTATGAATCACTTTTGCTGGCATCCTTGCCTGGCTTCAGTAGCGGGACCACCCTGCTCATTTTCCAGGCATCGGGAACTACTAGGGTGGCTAACGACAGATTGAGAATCTTTGTAAGATACTCAACTCCTGGTTCATCCAGTTGCTTCAACATCACCATTGAGATTCCGTCAGGACCAAGCGCTTTGGATGACTTTGCGCTTCTGATGGCCTGTGCAACTTTTGCCAACGTAAATTGTGGTGGTACCTCCTCGGCTGGAAGGGATCGTACACGGCGTAGGATCCTTCTCTTCGCCCTGTCACTTTCGGGGTGCTCTACAAACTGCCGGTTAAAATAACACGCGCACCTCTTCAGATCTGTCACTTCTACGCCGTTAAATGAGACAGATGTCCGATCGTCCTTTTTTCCAGGGTTCGAAAGCGACTTAACCGTTGCCCACAATTTACTCCTTCCGGTACCGATGTTGCAATGCTTCAGATGTTCTAACCACTTTTTCCGCTTATGCTCACCTACTAACCTGTTTACCTCCAGAGTAAGTTCCCTGACTCTGGGGTTATTAGGGTTAGTACGGCGAAGCTCATCTCGCTCGCTTGCTAATCCCGCTGCCTCTGCTGGGAAATTTGGTCTTATTTCAGGTATTCGACCAGCAGGTATATAGCGAGCGGCTGCAGCTTTGATGATGTCCCGGAAACACCTATCTGCTACCTGAACATCAGATGGGTTGGGCAGTTCTCTGAAGCGGCGATTGGTATACTCTCTGAATTCTTGCCAATTAGCTTTCCCGTGGTT